GAGTCACAGACTGAAACAGGCTCCAGGCTCTGAGCTGGCAGTCAGCACAGAGCCCGACGCGGGGCTCGAACCCACGAACCGCGAGATCATGACCTAAGTGAAAGTCGGACGCTTAACCGACTAAGCCACCCAGGCGCCCCCCTTGTGGGAAGATTTTCAATTACTGTTACTTAGTATAGTTCTTTTCATATTTTCCTCTTATGTCATATTTAATAATCTTTTAAGGGGGGTGCCTGGGTGGCTCAGTCGGTTAAGCATCTGACTTCGGCTCAGGTCATGATCTCACGGTTCATGGGTTCGAGCCCCACGTCGGGTTCTGTGCTGACAGCTAGCTCAGAGACTGGAACCTGTTTAAGATCCTGTGTCTCCCTCTCTCTCTGACCCTCTCCTGCTCATGCTGTCTCTCTCTCAGAAATAAATAAAACATTAAAAAATTTAAAAAAAATAATATTTTAAGGATTTTGTACATTTCCTCTAAATTGTTTAAATTTGATGGGTAAAGTTGCCCATGATGTTTCCTTATGATGCTCTTAATTTCTGCAGAGTCAATAATCCTATTTCCCCTTCATTCTAATTTTCTTAATTTCTGTTATTTTCTTGGCCTACCTAAACTTGTCAATTTTGATAATTGTTTGAAAGAGCCAGCTTTTTATTTTTATCGATTTTTAAAAGTTTGTTCATTTATTTACTTATTTTTGAGAGAGAGAGAGAGAGAGAGCACTAGCAGAGAAGGGGCAGAGAAAGAGAAGGAGAGAGAGAGACAGAATCTAAACAGGTTGTAGGCTCTGAGTTGTCAGCACAGAGCCCAGTGCGGGGCTTGAACTCACAGACCGTGAGATCATGACCTGAGCCGAAATCAGACGCTCAACTGACTGAGCCACCCAAGAGCCCCTATTTTCATAGATTTTTATAGTGTTTTTCTTTTTTTCTATTCCAGTGAGTTTTGTTCTAATCTTTATAGGTAAAGTCCATGTGTTTCCCATCTCCTGCTTTTGGCAGAGAGTCCGAGGCACACAGAGGAGGGGAATGTTCTGTAATGGAAAACAGGTATAGTTTCAGCAGTGCCTGATTGTACGATGCTGGTGTCAGGGCACAGCGGTGGTTGGGTGGTGTTGGGAGCAGAAGTGGGAATCCTATGTGATTTGTTAAGTATACATAATTAGCTTTCTCTGGTTGCTCCTAAGTGGGAAGTTTGAGCAAAAATTACAGAAGTTGCTAGTAACTAATCAAGTCCCTAACTGTTGACTTTTTTGCAGTGTATTATAAAAAACTGAATACAGGATATTTAGGGTGTCCTGACAAAATCAGTATAGAAATCAAGACCAACCCATTAAACACAGGACATGTCCTTGAATTGTGCCAGGGTCTTCATTTATAAAGGTGACTGAGTGCAACATGGAGAGGTCAATGCCATTGGAAGGGACTTTGTGCTACTCCACAGTTTCCTGGGTTATGACTGGTAAATTAACATTTGTTAAGTCCAGCACAGGGTGCCAAAGGGTGGGTCAGGTTGTGGTTCAATAACGGCCCACAAGAGACATTGAAATAGAGCAGTTTATTAGTCACAGGTCCTGGAAGAAGTGCATGGCACACCTCCAGGGGCCATTCAGGAATGTCAAGGCCAAATGCAGGTAGAAAAAAGGCAACACCTGGGGCACGTGCCTTTATAAGGGTCCCTGAGTTGAGTGGCTTTGAGGTTTCCCAGGTAGAGACAGATTGGTCAGTTTAGACCCAAACAGCTGGGTTTTGGTAAGCTTCAAAGAGGTCTTATCTAAGGGGGAAACATCTGGGAGACTGGGGGCTGTTAATTACAAGGGCCTTTGGGAAGTCCTATCAGGAACTTACATTTGCTTGTGACTCTTTGGGCTGTAACCTAGGGCATGTGCTTCCACGAGGCGGTGGGTGTCTATGTAAAGTCCCCCGCAGGCGGTTTGGCCAAACAAAATGGATGCTGAGACAGTGACACCAGGAAGTAGCTTAGCTACACTCTAGATACCCGGAAATAAGAGGCCAGGCACACCAGGAAGGTCCGCAGGAAACCACCTCACGTGCAGAAAGGACAGGGCCGGAGGGGGAACTGAGGTTATGGCTGATGGGTCAGGGAGTGCCTAGGTGGGGACATGCCTCTGGGGAAGGAAGCGAAAACACACTTTAGGGCTTATTCCTGAGCTGCTTATAATAGGAGATCTGCAAGCCTGTAAGACTTGGAAGAGAGAAGTACACATCTTTGACGATTAGTTTGGACTTCAGATAAATGAATACTAAATAGACAAATGGAGAAAACACAGAACAATCCTGTAGACAGAGAGCAGCTCTCTCCCTGATGTGTCCCATGCACCTATCAGAGAGCCTGAAACCCTGTGGGGGCACATTGTGCATTTCTTTCTTTTTTTTTTTTTTTAATTTTTTAAGTGTTTTTAATTTATTTCTGAGACACAGAGAAAGCATGAGCAGGGGAGGGTCAGAGAGAAAGGGAGACACAGAATCCAAAACAGGCTCCAGGCTCTGAGCTGGCTGTCAGCACAGATCCTGATGCAGGGCTCGAACCTACGAACCAAGAGATCATGACCTGAGCTGAAGCCCGACGCTTAACTGACTGAGCCACCCAGGTGCCCCCGTGCATTTCTTACATACGTAAATACACCCCACAGCACAGCTTCTCTGTTCATTTTCGCCATTTAGGCAAGCCTTTCAAAACATTGTCTCTCTCTCTCTCCAACCAGTTAATAGCCTCGTTTTCAGTTATCAAAAACCCCCAAAACCTGAGTATGGCCAAGATTCAAGCAGAGCCATAAACATAGCTTCATTTTCTGGTTTTTCAGATTTCAGTCTTGCAAACTTCCTTGGATCTTAACCTTTTTTAAACCCATGTTCACAGGTATGTCTTCCCAGCAGTATTTCTGTTACTCTCTTTGAACAACTGATCATTATTAATGCCTTTCAGTAATTTCCATTCCACAAGTGTTTTTCACGGATGACTTCGACTCCCTGAAATGACACCGTTGGTAGAATTTCAGGTGAAATGATAAACCAGTTACCAGCAAGAAGAGGAGAGACTGGATCCCTTACCTTTGTCTGGAGGACAGGCTGCTGCTTTCTTACAAGTGCCCCAGCGGTGGGAGTAGCCACTCCGTCCCGGCAGAAGATGGTGTTACGTCACTGTTCTTTCCAGATTTGAAATTGAAGAATATCGCGGGAGGAGTAGTATTTGAAGAACTGTGTTGCTCACTGGGTTCGAACAACCAGTGACTGTCTACACAGACAGGAAAGAGGTTTTTCCAGGAATCCGAGGCACAGCTTCGCCCTTTCTACCCACTTGGGTGCCCGCCCCATCATGCTGCCCCAGCCTTCCCCTCCATGGCTCTGTCCGAAGCCTTTTCTTTCTTGTCCTGGGACGAATACACGGCTCATTAAAACTGACTCGAGATTCAGCCTGTATTTGAAAAGCGACGAGGTATTTGATAGCTCTGAGCAGACGTGGCGTCGTGATGTGCTGTCCGTTTGCATCGCAGCATATGAAGTAACACGTCCCTAACTGCCCGGAGTGGGCGCCAAGAAATCTGGGTACGTCCCCTTTAAAAGCAGGTGGGGACACCCTCCCCCACTCCCCTTCCCTGGAGCCCCGGAACTCCATTTCCCAGCGCCCCCCGACAAGGCCTCTCGCCCTTTGTCCGCTGCGAACGGAGGCGGTGGCGGCGGCGGAAACCACATTACCCGTCAGTCTGCGGGGCGCGGCGGCGGCGGCGGCTGAGCCAATGAGGACCTGAGAAGGAGACGTTGATCGGGTGGGGGCGGAACTTCCGGTGCTCCTTGTCGGTGTCCTTTCGGTTGCTCTTGGTTTCACGGGTTCAGGGTTTCTAAGGCGCGTGGTTGGCGCAGAGGTGAGGGAGCGGGAGGGCGCAGGCAGAGTCGCTGTCCCCGCCCGGCTCTTCCCACCGGGCGGAGGCGGAGGCCGCGCCGGTGAAGCCGGCGCGGGTGGGTGCTGCGACCCCCCGCTCTCGGCCGCCCGCCCCCGCCCGGAGTGCGGAGGCCCGGATGGACGCGCGCCCGGTTAGCTCCCCGCCGTTAGGCCCCCGGCCGGGAGCGGAGGACGTCCTGGTTCGGGGTCCGGGTCCCGCCCCTGCGGTGGGGCTCGCAGCGGCTCCTGAGTGGGAGCTGGGGGGCGGGGCGGAGTGTCGCCTGCAGGGGCCGCGGGGACGTCTGGGCGCTTCCGCAGCCGGGATCAGGGGCCGGGAGAGCGGGGGTGGGAGTCGCACGCCCTGAGGTAGGAGGTTAGGATAGGGGAGAGCAGGCCCGGGGACGGAGGCGGGGAGCCTGCTGGGAGACCAGTGCAGGGCACCCCGGGCACTCATGGGGGCGGCTGGCCCAGGGCGGCGATGGAGATGCGAGGAGATTCTGCAGAGAGTCGGGCAGCAGAGCCGCGTCTCGTGTAGCTGTGAGCGCAAGCGGGGAGCGAAGGACCAAGTCAGGGTTTCTTTGCCTGAACATCTGAAAGAACGGAGATGGGGAAGCGAGCACAGGGGGCAGGTTCCGGGGAGCTCCCGAGTTCGGTTTTGGACGTGTTGATGCTGAGATATCTGAGGTGGGGACTTCCCGTGGGCAGGTGGACGTGAAGGCCCGGAGAACCGGGAAGGGGGACTGGGCTGGAGCTGTCCAAGGTGTGGGGGGTGTGCACTGCACCAGGGCCTGGCCTGAGGATCCGACCGAGGAGATCTTCACGTGGTGAGAGAGAGGAGGGCATGGGAAGCAGGTGCTGGCATCCCTGATGCTTCCTTCGGAAAAGAGCAGATTTGCTATAGGAAAGATCCTCCTCCCGCGTCTCTAGGAACGGAGACCTTGGTGGGGGGAGAAACTGCCCTTTGGTGGAGCCAGAGTTGTGTGCTGGTATAGACTCTTCAGCTGTGGGCTCAGGCGACCCTCAGGACCACTGTCTGTGGAACAAGGGAAATGTCCTCCAGGCTGATGGGGCGCCAAGGTCCCACACAGGGTACTGCTTGTCATCTACCCCGCTCAGGGCAAGAAGGATGAGCCGCTGGCCAGTCCAGGGCCTCCAACAAACTCTCTTTTGAGGATTACATAGCAGCAGGTCTGGTCGCCGTGTGGACCAGTAGCTTGTCTGCCTGCCCAACCTTTTCCTACAACTGGTCCACTTAAAATTGTGTAAAAAATGTGTTGACTTACGTACTAATTAATATTCCTCTAAATATGTATGCGTGGGTAGATAATTAAAAATGAACCTATTCAACAAGTTAAATTTATGCAAACACTTCATAATTTACTTGAGACTAATTTTAATCTATTTACAATATGAAGTTTGATCTATGATATCTTCTGAAATTGTAAAAAGCAATAAAGACCTTAAATTTCAAAACCCTAGCATTTCATTTGCCCTATGGCAGATGGATTCTATGGACAGAGCTGTTACATAGCATGTACTTCTGACATTTCGGTACCAATATTAACCTATGAGATTGGAAGCATTCTTATCCCAATAAGTATTTCCCCCCCCCTTAGGCTCAGTCCTTCTCCAGGGTTACCCTGCCAATAAGAGGCAACACTGTTTATTGAGGAGCTGAACTTAGACCATGAGGCTGAGGTCACTTTGCTCAGGGAAGGACATGGGTGGTGGTCCAGCTCAGTTCAGAAGACCCTTCCACAGCTCCCCATTTCAAATGATCTCCTGGTCTCCTTCCCATAGGGCCCCATGGCGGTGGCAGAAATGCTTATGGACCCCGTGCAGGTGAGTGGAGGGTGTCACACCTTTCAACCATCCCGATTGGCACCCAGGTGGTTTTGGCACCCTGTGTGTATGCCCCCAGGGAGTGGCAGTGTCCTGCTCCAGGAACCTTCTCCTGTCCTGGTCGCTCTCGAGTCTGAAGACCCTGTGCTTCTCTCCGGCCCAGGATCCTGTATTTGGTCTTAGATTGTATGTGGAGCGGCTCCCATTCCTAGCAAGTGATGTGGTCAGATGTGGCAGGGAATCCTGGCTGCGGGATGCAGAATGTTCACGTGCCTGTAGGTGAGACTTAGCTGGGATGTTTGCAAACTGCAAGTCTCTCTCATATCTGGTGAGAATGGGGAGCCAGGCTGGGGGTGGGTAGGGGTGCACGGGTACCAGACCCTGAGTGACAGCCTGGGGTTCTGGGTCTCCAGTGTGAGGTAGGTTGGAAGTAGGGAAGGTTGGAAACAGAAGAGGAAGGTGCTGTGACCCAGATTGTAACAGGCTCCGTTGGCCGCGGAGTGGAAGACAGGTGGGGGTGTGAGGGCAGGGAGGCCCGGGTGAGAGTCCAGGTGAGCATTGTGACTACAGAAGAGTGGTGGCTGTGGAAGCAGAGGAGCCGTCGGTTTCTGGGTGTGTGTCGAATGTTGAATCAGAGCTGCTCCTATTTTGTGATGTAGAGACCCGGGGAAGTGAGGAGGCGGGAGAGAGGGAAAGGTCGGGGGTCGCCCCTGGGGTCTTGGCCTTGTTCTGAAGGATGGGTGCTTCAGCTAAACTGGAGGAAGCCAGCCATAGGAGGAATTTCCAGGTGAAATAAGGGGACTTCGTTTTTGTCTTTGTCACAGATATTTCAGGGGCCCTAAGGGGAGGTGTCATGTAGGCACTTTATTACACGCAGTCTGGAGCTGCAGAGTAGATTTGGGTTGGAAGCAGCCACAGCGTGGGGGCCGGGGCGTGGGCTCGGATGAAGATGGATCAGATCCAGGAGGCCTCGGCTCTGGGTCGTGGCAGCGATGCCCTTACAGGAGCAGGGATGGAATAAAGGGTGTGATCTGAGTCCTGGGTTCCTTGATTGGGCACCTGGGTGGGGTTCTGGGCCTCATAAAGCTGAGGAAGCTAAGCATCTATGTGTGAGTTGTGTGTGAGAGAGATAGAGACAGAACAGAGAGGGAGAGATGGTGGGTGTAGGAGTGAGAAAGTGTTCTGAGACTTTGAGACTTCAGTGCACGTGAGCTAGATGTTGAGAGGGCAGTAGATCAGCTTGAAGAGCTGCCAGGCCTAACATGGCGTGGACTTGTGGGTGGGGACATAAGTGTCCTGGCCTTCAGAGGAGAGAAGAAGGTTCCCACTGCTTATGGGACGGTTAGTTATGGGACGGTGGGTGAAATACATAGGCAAAGGGGCAGAGGGTATGTGAGGTCTTCACATGGGCAGGGTGCCTGAGGATGAGACAAGAAGTGGGGCCTAGTAGGGGGACCTTTGAAGCGAGGCCAGGGGCCAGCTTGGCACTGGGGGACCTGGGGACTCGCCGTGTTCAGGGGCAGGACTGGGCCTTAATGGACCCCGGATGCATTTGCCATGCACTGCCTGGGTTCCATGTGCAGAATGGCCTGTGGGGAAGTGAAGGAAATGCCAGTGTGGGCTGGGGGTGTCTGGGGAGGTGTCTGTGGAGGGGTCAGCGTCAGGAGAGAAGGGAGTCCACGAGCGATATCCAGGTGAGGAGGAGTGTGAGTGGCTCCGGGTGCTTAAGGTGGAGGGGTGAGTCCAAGTTCATTGGAGAGTCTGAGTCTTCCCTCTCAGACACGGGGGACCCCAGGGTAACTAGCCGGTGGGAGAGAGGGAGAGCCCCGCATCCCCGAGCCCCCAGGCTCCCTTTTATGCTGTGCCCTGGACACAGTGATCAGTGGTAATGAGGGCAGACACCCATGCCACCAGCAGCTGGTGAGTCTTCCATGTTGGGAAGCCAGAGAGGAGGGTGAGCAGGGATGGGTGTGGGGGGGGAGGACTGAAGGTCCAGGCGAGAGAAGTGTATCAGGAACGGCACCCGCAGGATTTTAGTCCACGGAAGTGGGCAAGTGATGACGTGGAGACTGATGTTGCCGAAAGAAGGTTTTTATTCTATTTCTCAAGGAGGCGGGAGCACGTGTGACACGGCCATGTGGGGAAGCGCCGGATTTGGTTAGAAGGCATAAACCCCAGCAAAGGGAATCCTTAGGGCAGAGCATTTATTTGACTTTGTGGGAGAAATGAAGGGTAAGGGAAAAGCCTCAGGATGGGTATTTTGTAGAATTTTAGTGGATCTGGGGAAGAGGAGGTGGTTGTCTGGTACCTGGCCCCAGCTGATTGAGGGCACAGGAGGTGTTGACTTGGTGTGTGAGTCCGTGAAGGAGGTGGGTCAGAGTGTGGGCTCTGGGTTTCAGAGGAGATCCAAACAGATGTGGATCCTAACAGCCGTTGGTTTAGCGCCGTAATCAGTGGATGGCAAACAGATAAATATAGAATCCCCAGGATGCAGTCGACACAAGAAGCTGTTCGGGAGCCAAAACGTTCCAATCTTGGCAGAGCCGTGTGGTCTTCGAGGACGTGGCCATACACTTCTCCCAGGAAGAGTGGGGCCTCCTTGATGGAGCTCAGAGACTCCTGTACCGTGCTGTGATGAGGGAGAACTTTGCGCTGCTGTCGTCCCTAGGTAAGGCCCTCACGCCGAGCCCCGCGTCCCAGGCTGGGCTCTGTTCTGCCCCTTCTCCCCACGGGCAGCTCTGTCCTTCCCCCAAGACCAAAGGTCCTGCCTCCTCTCCTGGTCTCCTGGCAGAACTGGGTAGTGTGCCCTGCACCCGCTCCACGCCAGCAGGTCCCAGGGCGCAGAAGTCAGAAACGTGGATGTTTGTCTGAGAGACCCCTCGGACCTTGCGTGTCCCTGGCGTGGTCACCTGGTCTAGATGCTTGGAGCCGTGGCCCCCCAGGCCCCCCCGGACTCGCGCTGGCATTTCTTGGGCGCTCTTGCCTGTGTCAGGACTTTCAGGCCCAACCTAGTTACTAATGTGGGGGCGCTGGCTTGTTTCTACGGTGTCTCCTCTGAAGTCCTTGTAATTGTAAGATGTTGGATGTCCTGTGTTGGGTTGTTTCGGGCGCATCCTGGCCATTGCTTTTCCTTTCTTTCACCCAGGACTGGCCTATTGCAGGTGCCACGAAAGTGCTCACTGGAGCCATGGGGAGGACCCTGGGTGCCTAATAGGCAGACATTACTACATCAGGGGCAAGAGACACCCAAAAGTACATGGCCCTGGTGGTATGGGGCTGGGGAGAGGTGTGTGTCAGAGCTGGGAGTCTGTCCTTTGTCCACCATCATTTGGTGCCAGGACAGGCCAGATCTCATTTCTTTTATCTTTTTCCTTTTTTTTTTTTTAACGTTTATTTATTTTTGAGAGAGCAAGAGACAGGCAGATTGTGAGCAGGGCAGGGGCAAAGAGGGAGAGACAGAATCCGAAGCAGGCTCCAAGCTCTGAGCTGTCGGCCCAGAGCCCGATGCGGGGCTCGAACCCATGAAGTGTGAGATCATGACCTGAGATGAAGTCAGATGCTTAACTGACTGAGTCACCCAGGCGCCCCACCAGACCTCATTTCTACCTCTCCTTTCCCGTTTTCACTTCTACTCTGAAGTCTGGTCCCCTTTCCACCACAATCTAACACATGTTAGCCTTCACCTCTTGTTCTGTTTCATCGCGGCCTTCGCAGGGCTCTCCAGCATCTGACTGTATGTAGGATATCGTGAGGTCTGCACGTGTCCTTAAGTAGTTCCTGAATTGCAGTGTCTCTGTTGTCGTTAGGTAGGTATTTCTAGTCTGTCTACTGTTTCCTCCACAGTGCTCACCAGTCCCCAGCAGACGTAGCCCTTTGCCCAGGAGTGACCTGAATCCCTGTCTCTCCTCCCGACAGGCCACCTGCTGTGTTTTAAGTGTTTGTGCCCCATCCCCAGCCCCACCCCCCCCCACCAATTCCTCATGCCCAGTATAGGGGTGTTAGAAGATGGCACTCTGGTCATGAAGGCAGAGCTCTCATGGGTGGGGCTAGTGCCCCTGTAGAAGAAACCCCGCTGACGTCTCAGCCCCTTCCGCTATGTGAGGACACAGTGAGAAGTTGACAGCCTAGAAGAGGACTCTCACCCCACCATGCTGGCACCCTGATCTCAGAATCACAGCCTCCAGGACTGTGAGAAATAAATCACTATTGTTTATAATAAGCCACCCAGTCTGTGGTATTTTGTCGTAGCAGCCCACATGGGGAGAGACAGCACCCCTCCCTTGTGTCGTTCCCCAGGGTCAGGGCTGTACTGTCGTGGGCGCTGGCCAGGCCTTGCTCTGCACAGCAGGCCCTCTCACCATCTTGAGTCCCCCAGCCCGTGAGCTGTCCCATGGCCTCGTCCATGGGGTGTCTGATGCGCATTCCCGACAGGGCTCCCTCTTCCCAACAAGGTCAGCGTGCGCTTGAGCAGCATTTCTCTGCTTACAGGTTGCTGGCCTGGAGCCCGGGACGAGGAGGTGTCACAGGTCAGGATTTCAAAGCCAGGTCCATCCATCCAGGAGGCCCAGCCCTGTGAGACATGTGGCCCAGTGTGGAAAGACATGTTGCCCTCGGCTGAGCAGGATGGAATGTACCCTGATAGAGAGCTATACGTTCGTGGGACAAACCAAAAGGAACAGATTGAAGATCAGTTTTCCAGAAGGGAGGAGGGGAGGCCTTCCTCTGCAATGAACGACAGTGTTCAAGTGGCTGAGAGTAGCTGCACACGCAGCCAAGGCAGGAAGGACTTCCCAGCCCGCACAGGCCTGCCCCAGTACCTGGCCCCTCGCAGTGTGTTGAAACCACACAGGGACCCTGAGTGCGGGGAGGCTTTTGAAAGTGGACAAAGTGATTACAAGTGCATTCAGTGTGGGAAGGCCTTCAAGCAAAAACAGGTACTTGTCGAGCACCAGAAAAGCCACACTGGAATAAGACCCTATGAGTGCAGCAAATGTGGGATGGCCTTCATTAGAAAGTTCCACCTTGTTCAGCACCAGAAAATTCACACTGGAGAAAGACCTTTTAAGTGCAGTGAATGTGGGAAATTCTTTCGGTACAACTCCACACTCGTTAGTCACCAGAGAGTTCACACTGGATTAAGCCCTTATGAATGTAGCAAATGTGGGGAATTCTTTAAGTACAATGCCAACTTCATGAAACATCAGAAACTTCACAGTGGAGAAAGGCCTTATGAATGCAGAGAATGTGGAAAATTCTTCAGGTACAACTATAGACTCATACGACATGAGAGGGTGCACACTGGAGAAAGGCCGTATGAGTGCAACGAGTGTGGGAAGTTTTTCAGGTACAGCTCCACGTTCATTAGACATCAGAGAGTTCACACTGCAGAAAAGCCTTATGAGTGCAGTGAATGTGGCAAGTTCTTTCGGTACAATTCCACACTCATTAAACATCAGAGGGTTCACACTGGAGAAAGGCCTTATGAGTGCAGAGAATGTGGGAAATTCTTTCGGTACACCTCTACACTCATTAGACATCAAAGAGTTCACACTGGAGAAAGGCCTTATGAGTGCAGCTTGTGTGGGGAATTCTTTAGGTACAAGTCCAAGCTCATTAAGCATTGGCAAAATCACACCGGAGAGAGGCCTTATGAGTGCAGTGAATGTGGGAAATCCTTTAGGTACCACTGTAGACTCATTAGACATAAGAGAGTTCACACTGGAGAAAGGCCTTATGAGTGCAGCGTGTGTGGGAAGTTCTTTCGGTACAACTCCAACCTTATTAAACATTGGAGAAATCACACTGGAGAGAGGCCTTATGAGTGCAGTGAATGTGGGAAAGCCTTTAGTCACAAACATATACTTGTGGAGCATCAGAAAATCCACACTGGAGAAAGGCCGTACGAGTGCAGCAAATGTCAGAAGGCCTTCATTAGAAAGTCCCACCTCGTCCATCACCAGAAAATCCACAATGAAGACAGATCTATGAGCACCAGAAATGTGGGGAATGCTTTAGATACAACTCCAACCCATTAGCAGAGAATTACACCTGTAAAGCAACTTGTAAATGCAGAGAATATGGTGAATCTTTTAGGTACCACTTGAAACTCATTACCTTGGAGAAGCACCTTATGAAGTACGGTAAAACCTTGGTTTGCGAGCATAATTCCTTCCAGAAACATGCTTGTAATCCAGAACACCCATATATCAAAAGTGAATTTCAGGAACCAGTGGCTCACTTGTGATGATGTGACGTTGGGCAGCTCGTACTATTCGAATTGCAAGACATCGCTCATTTATCGAGTTAAAATTTATGAGAAATATCTGCTCATCTTGCACAACACTTGCAGAACAAGTTACTCACAATCGAAGATATTACCATGTAGTGAATGTGGGAAATTGTTTTGGTACAGTTCACCGATCATTAGACACCAAGAGATCACTGGAGGAAGACCTTGTGAGTGTAGTCAACGCGTGGTCTTTAGGTGCAGCTCCAGCCTCATTCCATATCAGAGAATTCACAATGAAAAAAGACCTTGTTTGTGCTACAAATACAGGCATTTGTTCATCTAAAAGTCCAACCTCATTTGGCCTTAAAAAGTTCACATCAGAGAGTATTGCAAAGGGAGAAAGGCTTCAGCCAAATACCTGCTCTCATTTATCCCTGGGAACTACCATAATATAGTTCTTTGTTTTATGTGTGCGTTGTGCATACATAGCACAGCTTACCCTCTCTTTGAATTGTGCAGTTTCGTAGTGTTAAAAATTTCACGTATTTGTGCAACTAGTTTCCAGAATTCCTTTCATCTGGCAAAACTGAAACTAGACCCACAAGACAAGCTTCTACCTGCCCCCCACCACACCTGGCAACTTTGTTTTTATACTGTGTGTCTGTGGATTTGACTGCTCGGAGACCTCATGTGAGTGGAGTCCTATAGTATTTGTCTTTTTGTGACTGGCTTATTTTGCTTAATACGGTTTCCTCATTTGTCAGCATTTCCTTCTGTTCTGAGAAGGAATCAGAGTTAACATACCGAAGATATTGGGAAGGGTGTCGATGGAGTCAGTAACAGCTTTGCCAGGTGTAATATTTCTAGAGGAAGAGGAGATCCAGATTTTGTATGGAATCTTTATTTCTTAACAGCTTTATTGAGGTATTGGCATAAGTTAAACTGCAGTTATTAAAGGTGTAGAATATATTTTCATATACGTATGCACAGTGGGAGCATCGCCAGAGTCATGATAATTAATAATCCATAGCCCCTATATAGAGTTCCTTTGGCCCCTTTGTACTTCTCTCCCTCCCCAGTCCTATGCAACTTTGCTATCCCTAGGTGGGCACTATCATTTGCGTTTTCTAGAATTTTATATAAATAGAATCCTGCACTTACTATTGTATAGCTGTTTTCACTAAGTGCATATATGTATTTTTAGCATTGTCTGTGTTGCGTTTGCAAAAACATGGCACTGAATGACTGGCAAGGCTCTGTGTTATGTATTAGAGGTGCGCTGTTCATAAACAACAAAGGTGCTAATAATCACTGATTGTAAGAGTGGTTTAGAATGAGAAAGTGAAATTAAAGTAAATTTAAATTCAGTTTCATTTGAGTTCATTATCAATAAAAAATTTTGAACCATCTGAAACACCTTTCTGGAGAATCCTTGTTTGGCTTCTTTTTTCTTTTTTTTTTTTTTTTAATATTTTTATTTCNTTTTATTTCTAGGAGAGAGAGAAACAGCGTGAGCAGCGGAGGGTCAGAGAGAGAGGGAGTCACAGACAGAAGCAGGCTCCAGGCTCTGAGCTGGCAGTCAGCACAGAGCCCGACGCGGGGCTCGAACCAACGAACCGCGAGATCATGACCTAAGCGAAAGTCGGACGCTTAACCGACTAAGCCACCCAGGCGCCCCATTGGCTTCTTTTTTCTAGTAGTGTCTTTAAAACTATGTCTTTGTATCATAAAAGTTCCTAGAGCATTAAAAAAAAATTTTTTAATTGTGTAAAATACACATAAAATTTACTATCTTGCCATTTTTAAGTGTTCTGTTGTGTATTGGGCTCTCAGAGAACCATCAGGGTGTGTGTGGAGAGAGAGGGGTGGGGCGGGGCTGGGTATGTGATTTAAAGAATTAGCTAAAGCATTTGTGATGGCCGGCAAGTGGAAAATCTGCAGAGCAGGCCAACAGGCTGGGGACCGTGGAGGAGTTGCAGTTCAGGCCCAAAGGCAGTCTGCTGATATGATTTCTTGCTCGAGGTCATCTTTTTATCATGTCCTCTTCAAACCAGGTGACTTATTGAGAAATTTGAACTTTAGAAAGGGCAACAGGCATTATAAAATAGGAAATGGAAAGAAAACAGTTTGGGAGTGATACGTGGGAAACGATTCAAGATGCCACTCTGATTGTATCATTCAAACCTCACCATGCACAAAACAATGCAAAAAGTAAGGTAATTATATGTAAATTTATATTTACATTGAAAACTTTCTGTTTCATAAAGCTCATGACTATGGAACAACTGAAAAAGTGTAACAGGTGCATAATGACAATACCAGAAGGAAAAGACAGAGAGGAATGGAGGAAATGATTGAAACAATAGCGACTGAGACTTTACTCCAAGTTTACCCAAATTTAGACGTCCAGGTACAGATCTGGAAAGCTCAGAGAACACCAAGCAGGAAAGATGCTAAAAGAAAAAACACACAGAAATCGCATTTTTCAAACAACAGACGATCAAAGATAAAAAAACAAAAACAACTCCGAAACAGGTCAGAGAAAGAAAACACTTTATTTCTCGAGGAACAAAGATAATGACACCCAACTTCTTAGAAACAATGCAAGAAGAGTGGAGTGCAGTATTTAAAGTGTTGAGAGAAAAAAGACCCGTCAATCTAGAATTTTGTACCCTGTGAAGTTATACTTCAAAAGTGGAGAAATAATTTCTCAAACAAAAGTGGAAAGTTTGTTGGTAGATCTTCCTTGAAAGAAATGTTAAAAGAAGTTCTTTAGAGAGAGGGGAAATGGTATAGCTCAGAAATTCACATCTACAAAGAAAAATACGTGAAGGTACAATAAGAACTATTTGTCTTATCAATTGAGCTAACAGATTAGTTTGTCAAAACAAATAGCAACAATGCATTTGAGTATATATGTGGGAATATATTTAAGTGAAATGAATAACAGCAATGATGCAAGGAATGAGAGGAATTAGTATTTTGTTATACTGAGGTACACACGCTACCTGTGAAATGGTAATGTTATCTGTTAGCTGTAGATGTATACTGTAAGCTCTAGGGCAACCACCAAACAAAGTAAAAAAGAAGTACAACTGTTAAGAAAGGAGAGCAAATGGAATCCATAAAATGCTCAATTAAAACTACAAAAGGGAGGGGTGCCTGGGTGCCTCAGTTGGTTAAGTGCCCCACTCTTGATTTCGGCTCTGGTCATGATATCATGCTTGGCAAGTTCAAGTCCCCAGTCGGGCTCTGTGCTAACAACATGAAGCCTGCTTAGGATTCTCTGTCTCCCTTTCTCTGCGGCTCCCCTGCTCACTCACTCCCTCTCTCAAACATTTTCTTAAAACTACAAAAGGGAGAAAAAGGGTGGAAGACAAAAATAGGAACGAAGTACAAGAGTGAATTGCCAGAGTGAATCAAAACATGTCTGCAAGAAACCCACTTTAAATATAAGTACATGTCTGTATAGATAAAAAGTGATTGGATAGAGAAAAATGTACCATGTAAACACTAAAAGAAAGCAGAAGGAGTTGTATTAATTTTAGACAGGCAGGCTTCCATGGTGAAAGGGCATGCATATCTTGGCAGGAAATGACATGTGGTAAGGTTTCAGATTCTTACAAGTGGGAAAATCAGTAAAAGGAAACTTCATTTAGGATGGAGTTGCAAGGCCAGCAGGAGAAGTTCTCACTTCCAGCACTTCAATCGCACACCCAACAGGAGGAGTAAAGATGGACCCTGCAAGTCCATTCCACTTTACTATCCCCTCCGGAGGAAGAAAGATTTCTTCCTCTACATCCAACTTCAACAGCCTAGCCAATGAGAGGCAGTCATAGCTCAGTCCATGAGAATCCATTATACTTCTAACTCCCACTTCACTCCAATGGACTTTTAGTTTATAACAACCCAGCCCAATTCCCTTCCTGTATAAAAGGGAGGTTTCCTCCTTTGTTCTCAAGGCTTGCCTATGGCTTTGCCAAATCTTGCTTGTACCAGGTTACGATTCTCAGATGTTCTCAAATAAGGCCATCTTTTGCTGGTAAAATAATTGGCACTTTTATTTTTAACATTAACAAAAGAAATGGAACATATCTAAGAAATGTTTTAAATAATATCTCAATAAAAGTGTTGCTTGCTAGGTTGGAACACAGTCACTGGTTATCCATGCCAGACAGATATTCCTCCTCCAACTCCCCATTATGCCATCTAGGGTTTTTTCTTTCTCATCCTTGACCTTGCATATTGAAGGTCATTAAACAGTTGACGTGTATTTGGTTTATTATTATTATTTTAATTTCTGAGAGAGAGACCGTGTGAGCAGGGGAGGGTCAGAGAGCGAGGGAGCTACAGAATCTGAAATAGGCTCCAGGCTCTGAGCTAGCTGTCAGCACAGAGCCCTACATAGGGCTCGAACCCACGAACCTTGAGATCATGACCTGAGCTGAAGTCAGACGCTTAACGGACTGAGCCACCCAGGCGCCCCTTGGCTTTAAAAAGAAAACCACAGGCCCAAAATGTGTCACTTAGGCCTGAGTCCTCCAACTGGGGCTTAATACCTAATCTAACTGCAATTTCAACTTTTCCCAGAAATGTAGATTTAACCAGTCAGGAATTTTCTGATCAGCGCCAATGTAGTAATCTGCTACAGGGGCCCTCTCCATCCTCCAAAGAAGGTAAGGTCATCTGCATGCTTTCCCCCTAAGGAAAGGCAACCTTGCCTAAAAACTCCTTTGCTAATAACTTTCTGACCCCAACCTCCTCCCTATAAAATCTTCCATTTTGCACAACTCCTCAGAGCTCCCCTCTACTTGCTGAATAGGACACAGCCCGATTGATGAGGTATTTAATAAAGTCAATTGTATTTTCAAAATTACTCAGTTGATTTTATTTTTTAACAATAGTCTGGTTTGTTCCTTTGGTGGTGTGGCCTTTGGGAATTTCCTGTGCTTCCCCGAGTCTGTAATAACAGATCTCTATTTGGGGCAGGTGTCCTAGACTACACTCAGTGGAAATCTGGGAGTCGGCGACCCCATGCTGCATCACAGGGGTCCAGGAACTACATTTCCGGTGCACCCTCATGTTGTCCCATTGCCGCCATCCCTAAAGTCAGGAAGGACCTCGTCCCCTAGACGGCGGGCAGCCGCCTGGGAGTCACGCGTTACCCAGAAGGCTCCACGGCAGGCAATGGTGGGAGCTGAGCCAATGAAAACGCAGCAAGGAGCCCGGTGCCTGCGCTTGTGGGGCGGGACTTCCGGTGGCGTTCCGCCGGTGTTGCGCGTCCTGTGTTCTTGGGCCACTTGACCTGTGTGGGGTCTCGGCAACGCTGGGTTGGTTCCATGCAGATGGGCAGTTGCAGAAGAGGGGGTGTCCCCGCCGCTGAAGCAGCTGCGAGGCGCCCTCGTCGCCGCCCAGTCGCCCGCCGCGTCCCGCCCGCTCTTCCCACTGGTCGCAGGGGGAGGCCGAGCCCGTGACGCCAGCGCAGGTGGGTGCTGCGATTCCCCGCCCTCGAGCGCCCGCCCGCTCGGCCCGGAGGCCCGAGGCCCGGATGGAGGGGCGCCCGGCCAGCACCCTGCAGTCAGGCCCGCTGGGCGGGAGCAGAGGGCGTTCTCGTTGGGGTCCCCTCCCGCCTGTAGGGGCTCCGGAGTCCAGGTGGTGACGTGAGTTTGCAGGGGCGGCGTGAGCAGCTGCGGGCTGTAGAGGGCCGAAGGAGCGGGGGTGGGAGGGGCTGCCATTTGCTGACTGAGACGTGTATTAAGATGACCGGAATATCATTCTGCTCTATATGTGGTCTCAGTCCATAGTTCCTGGTTCTTGGCTTCCAGAACTGTTGGAATTTCCTAAATGTTGACAGGGATAAACTTGCATTTTGTTCTGTGAAGAAGGTGATTTTTGGAAGCACCTAAGCTGTTTGCCTGGAGAACCAACCTGGTGGTTAGAGGGCTGGAACTTTCGGTCTTCCCCCCCCCCCCCCCCCCGCGCGCTCCTGGGAGAGGGGAGATGGGCTGGAGGCCAAACCAGTAGCCAGTGGCCAATGATTGAGTCAGCCGTGCTTGTGTAACGCAGCGTGCAAAGCACCCTGAAGGAGGGGTTCCGAGAGCTTCGGGCTGGTGAGCCCCGGAGAGGGGAGGAGAGGGGCGCTCCTCCCTGTCTCCACAGCTTGCCGCGTGTATCCCTTCCATCTGCCTGTTTCGGAGTTACATCCTTTTCTAATAAACTGGTGATCCTGCAAGAAAAATGTTTCTCTGAGTTTCGTGAGCCATTCTAGCAAATCCGTTAAACCTGAGGAAGGGGTCTTCGGAAGCTCCGACTTACAACCAGTCAGTGAGAAGCAGAAGTAACGAGCCTGGGCTTGCCGCTCGCAGCTGAAATG